AAAAATTGGAATCCCATAAAAATCTCGACCCATGGTCCCTCCCTTTCTCATCTATTTTTTGCCGATTAGTTAGTCCTAATGTCTAAAGCAACATTGAATGACTGTAAAGTTATCAAAGACACCCTTGGGAACTTTTGTGAGTGGTCTGGCCAAAATATCAATAACCTTAAATCAAAAATTATTTTCTCTAATAACTGCTCCCAAAAAATTAAGGATGATATATCAAATCATATGAATATAAAGTCGAGCGAATTCTTTGGAAAATATCTTGGCTTTCCAATCTTCCATAAAAGACCTTTGAAAAGGGACTACCAATTCATCTTGGATAACCTGCTGACAAAACTTGCAGGATGGAAAACCAGATTCTTGAATATTTCGTGACGCACAACTCTAGTCAAATCTTCCCTAAATAACATTCCAACCCATGTTATGCAATATATAAAAGTACCTAATAACATCTCCAAACAAGTAGATCGTTTTCAACGGAATTTCACTTGGGGTACTACTGACTATAAAAGGAAATTACACCTACTAAACTGGAATATAGTTACTAGACCTAAGGGGCAAGTAGGTTTTGGAATTCAAAACTACAAGTTAAAAAATGATGTCTTTATCTCAAAACTAGCCTAGAGAATATATAAAAATCCCACAACTTTGTGGGTTGCCCTCCTTATTATTAAATATACTAGAAATACTAATCTTTAACACCATAGACAAACATTTAATAACCACTATCAGTACTTGGAAAAATATTATGCTAGGTTGGAAGTTTTGTAAAGAATGTACTATTTGGGATCTAGGTAATGGAAAAAACATCAAACTATGGACAGATAGATGGATACCCAATAGTAGGCCTTTGTACCACATTATTAACGGGCCTCGTACAATAGATGAAATGGCTATGACAGTTAGTGATATTATTGTTGATGGATCTTGGAACCAAAACAGAATGAGTGAACTTTTGATACCAAAGGAGGTGGAAAACAGTATCAAAGCCATTTATATACCCAGAAACCTGAATCCAGTTGATACCCTCACATGGTCCCTAACACCTCATGTTTTTTTCTCTACAAGTTCTGTTTATAAACATGCCACGGATAATCATAGCATGACCATACATAACACTAAGGATAATCATAGTATGATCATACAAAACACTAAGGATTACAACTGGATATGGAGCCTGAATTGTCCTACCAAAATCAAATATTTCATATGGCTCTGTAATCATAATCGTCTACCTACCTGTCATTACCTTAATTCTGTAGGTATTAATATTGAACCTCTTTGTGTTATGTGTAGTAGGTCCGAAACCATTACACACATCTTTTTACATTGCCCATCAATACTGGGACAATTAAGGTATGTTGAAAGAAATCAGGGAGATAGCGGATTTAAACGATGTTGATTGGCATAATAGTTGTCGTAAGATTAAAAAAAGAATTATAAACAACAAGTTAGATTGGAGCCTTGTCTTTCCCTTCTATATTTGGAATATATGGCTATCTAGAAACCATAATTATCATAACAATACTAAAGACAATATCCAATGACCAATCTCTACGAGAGAACCATGAAATTTATACACTTAATTGGGAAGGACACGAGTAGAAAATGTAATACGGAAAACAAGGATGTTGTTAGTTGGGATCCACCGAACTATGGATATAAATTTTTCATAAAGTAAATCCATGTCATTCGAGAAAAATCATCCACAAAAGTAACAAAATATCTAAACTCAACTTTAGACACAACAGGGCATGGTCCCCAAACATCTGAATTAACTAATTCGAAAGCAAAATCCGCCCGCTTATTATTTCTAGGACTTAACGAGCTTCTATGGTGTTTTGCAAAATGCCAAGACTCATAGTCTATTGAAGGTACATTTTGAAATTGAGGACATGATTTCTTCAAAACTGGAAGAGAAGGATGTCCCAAATGACAATGTGCTTCAAATGACGAGACGATACTGGAGCAAGCAACTGATGGAGGCGCCCATTCATCAAGAATGTATAGACCATCTGATACATGTACTTTACCAATAATCTGCTTCGTTATAAGATCCTGAAAGAGACAATAATCGGGATATAATGAGACAAAACATTTTTGTTCTTTGGTAAGTTTACTCATAGAAATTAGATTAAAGGCAAGACTAGGTAAGCCTAGCACAGAGGACAAAGTAATAGATGAAGTGGGGTTAACGGTTCCAGATCCCTCAATGGTATAACTAGACCCATCAGCTATGGTAACAGAGGATGGTACTTTATGTGTCCGAAATTTAGAAAAAAATTTGGGAAGTTGCTTGAGGAGGAAACGAGACATTTGTTACCTAACTCAGTAAGGGAAGGGGTTGTCATTGATTCTTGATACTTTGTAAGTTTAGCATACTCATCAGCGGAGATTGTAACAGTTGAGGGTGAACTCGAAGTGGCAGCAACAACGGCAGTCTGTGTCTATTGGTTGCGATTCTGTAATTTCTTATAGATTTCTCCTATAATACTGCTAACTATATAAGGTAATAGAATATTTACAACATTCTTTCACACTCCCTCTCAAGCTGGAGCATATAGATTGATCATGCCTAGCTTGTTACACAAATAGTTAACTCGAGCTCCCGTCAATGCATTTGTGAACAAATCTGCTAGTTGCTCTCATGTCTTTACATAGCTTGTGGAAATCAAGTTCTCTTGAATCTTTTCACGAATAAAATGGCAGTCCACCTCGATGTGCTTAGTTCTTTCATGATACACTGGATTTGAGGCGATATGAAGGGCAAATTGATTATCACACCAAAGTTTCGATAGTGTGGGATACTTCAACCCAACTTCACTTAAGAGGTGATGTATCCATATAATCTCACTTGTGGATTGTGTCATAGCTCTATACTCAGATTCTGCACTAGATCGAGATACAACATTTTGTTTCTTACTTCTCCATGATACCAAATTTCCACCCACAAAGACACAATAGCCAGTAGTAGACCTTCTATCAATCTTGGATCCAGCCCAATCAGCATCTGCAAAACACTCAATGCAAGTATGTCCATTGTTTCTATATACTATGCCAAGTCCATGGGCGCCTTTCAAGTAACACAATATTTGTTCCAAATCTTCCCAATGTTTGATTGTAGGTGTGGACATGAATTGACTAACAACACTTACAGCAAAAGAAATATTCGTACAAATTATAGTGAGATAGTTTAATTTCCCAACTAATCTCCTATATCTCTCTGGATCATCGAATGGATCACCATCATCTTTTGTTAGCTGCGTATTGGGGATCATTGGAGTACTACAAGGCTTGGTTGCCGACTTTCCAGTTTCCTCAAGAAGGTCTAGGATATACTTCCTTTGAGATAAAAATATTCCCTTCTTGCTCCTACTTACTTCTATTCCCAAGAAGTATTTCAATTGTCCCAAATCTTTCGTGTGAAGCATAGAATGCAAGAATAATTTGAGAGAAGATATTCTTGCATAATCACTCCCAAGAAGAATAATGCCAACTATTGATTGTTTGTAAAAGACCGAATGATCACAATTGCTCTTAGTTAGCCCAAACTTCTGAACTACCTCACTAAATTTCCCAAACCAAGCATGTGGACTCTGTTTCAGACCATACAAAGATTTCTTCAAGTGACATACTTTCCCATTCTCCCCCTGAGCAAAAAAACCGGGTGGTTTCTCCATATACACTTCTTCTTGGAGATCACCATGAAGAAATGCATTCTTGATATCCAACTGATGTAGCGGCCAATTTTGAGAAGCATCCAGAGAAATAAACAAGCAAACGGAAGTGAGTTTGGCCACCGGAGAAAAAGTATCAAAATAATCCACCCCATAAGTCTGAGCTTATCCCTTAGCCACCAATCTGGCTTTAAGCCTAGCCACAGAACCATCAGGATTTACTTTGACTGTAAAAACCCATTTACATCCCACTGCCTTCTTCCCTTTTGGTAAGTCCACCAAATTCCAAGTGTGATCTTCATCTAACGCATGTATCTCATCGAGCATTGAATCATACCACCCAGGGTGAGTCAAAGCTTCTCGAACTATTTTGGGTACAAAGATAGAATCTAGAGAAGCAATTAAAGAGCAAGATGCGGGAGACAAGTGGTCATATGAGATAAAATTACCAATGGAATATATTGATTGACATTGACGCTTACCTTTGTGAAGAGCAATGGGAATGTCAAGATTTTCTGTTGGAGAGAGATTGACTGGAGGAGGATCAGATGACGAGAGAGTTGGTGCAGGACATGTATCATTGGTCACTTGTCACCTGGAATAAACTTGAACTATCGGCGGCTTTGTTTGAGTAAGAGGAACATCAGAAGACACATTTTCCATTGCTTGTTCAACACTACCAGGAACTTCCTTATAGTGTTCTGATCTCGATGGAGTGGTCCTATAAATGAGATTATTCTTCCTGCTGCTCTTGAGTGGGAAAAGTGTCGGGAGAGGAAAAAAATGATATGCTTTTAGAGAACACCACATCTATCGACACCATATATCTGTTAAGGGTTGGAGAGTAGCACTGAGAACCCTTTTGTAAGCGAGAATATACCAAAAATACACACTTCAAGGCCTTTAGTTCTAGTTTAGTAACATGGGGTCGCACATCACGAACATAACAAGTCTAATGAAAATAATGGCTTATTAGGAAAGAGAACACCATATGGAATATCACCATTAAGCACTGTGGATGGCATGCGATTAATTAAAAAGCTAGTTGTGGATACCACATCCGCCCAAAATTGCTTAGGTACCTTCATTTGAAATAGCAAAGCATGAGCTGTCTCAAACAAATGTTTATTTTTTCTCTCAGCCACTCCATTTTGAGAGGGTGTATCAACACACGAAGATTGATGAAGGATACCATATTGATTCATGTAGTTCTGAAATGATGATGACATGAATTCTTTAGCATTGTCACTCCTCAATATGTACAGAAGCATTAAATTGTGTCTTAATCTCAACACAAAAATTTGAGAAATGGGAAAACACTTCAAAACGATTTTTCATAAAGTAAATCCATGTCATTCAAGAAAAATCATCCACAATAGTAACAAAATATCTAAACCCAACTTTAGACACAACAGGGCATGGTCCCCAAACATTTGAATGAACTAATTCGAAAGCAAAATCAGCCCGCTTATTATTTCTGGGACTTAACGAGCTTCTATGGTGTTTTGAAAAATGTCAAGACTCACAGTCTATTGAAGGTACATTTTGAAATTAAGGACATAATTTCTTCAAAACTGGAAGAGAAGGATGTCCCAAACGATAATGTGCTTCAAATGACGAGACGATACTAGAGCAAGCAATTGGTGGAGGCGCCCATTCATCAAGAATGTATAGACCATCCAATACATGTCCTTTACCAATAATTTGCTTCGTCATAAGATCCTGAAAGAGATAATAATCGGGATATAATGAGACAAAACATTTTTGTTCTTTGGTAAGTTTACTCAGAGAAACTAGATTAAAGGCAAAACTAGGTAAGCCTAGCACAGAGGACAAAGTAATAAATGAAGTGGGGTTAACGATTCCAGATCCCTCAATGGTATAACTAGATCCATCAGCTATGGTAACAGAGGATGGTACTTTATGTGCTCGGAATTTAGAAAAAAAATTGGGATTACCTATCATGTGATATGTGTCACCCGAATCAATGATCCAGTTGCTTGAGGAGGAAATGAGATATTTGTTACCTGACTTAGTAAGGGCAGGAGCTGGCATTGATTCTTGATACTTTGTAAGTCTAGCATACTCATCAGCGGAGATTGTAACAGTTGAGGGTGAACTCGAAATGGCAGCAGCGGTAGTCTGTGTCTGTTGGTTGCGATTCTGTAATTTCTTACAGTTTCGCCTTATGTGCCCGGGTTCCTTACAATAGCGACAAGTATTGTCATTATTCCATCTCCCAGCTTCATTGTTTCCTTCTTTGTTATTGTTCCATACCCCAGCATTGTTGTTATTGTTCCATATTCCTGCATCATTGTTATGGTTCCATTTCGCTGCATCATTGTTATGATTCCATTTTTCTCCATCTTTGTTATTGTTCCATTTTCCAGCATCATTGTTGTTGTTCCATCTCCCTGCATTATTTCTTCCTCCTCCTCTTTTTCCAACAAGCACATTTGTCTGTTGATAGGCTGGAGTACTCTCTGTGCGCAACACCCGACTGAAAACATCATTGAGAGAAGTGTTCTCAGAACTGGAGAGAATCTGTGATTTAGCAGTCTCAAACCCAGATGGGAGTCCAGTTAAAAAACTCATTATCGCCATTTGTTCCCTCTGAGCTTGTTGTACCTTGCTATCAATACTGAATGGTAGAAGTACATTCAGTTCCTTGTAGGTTTTCTTGAACTCCATGAAGTATGTAGTGAGTGACTTAGCTTCCTTCTCAGAACGATAGAAAGCCTTAGAAACTTCATAAATCCGAGATAAATTACCTTTGCCAGAGTACAAATACTCCAAATAATCCATTAATTCTTTAACAAACTCACAATGATTAACCAAACCAACAACTTCATTATCAATAGAGTTTATGATTTGCAAGATTAGTCTAGCATCATCTCTAAGCCAAGCCTTTTTACCATCATCGGTTGGAGGATCTTGTATATGATGATCATCCTTTTCAACACTACGCAAGTAGATCCTGATTTTTCTACTCCAATCTAAATAATTAAACCCATTTAATTTAGAATCTGTAATTTTGGATAATGCTGGAACAATTTCAGTCATGGCAGATTTATCTTTAGCCATTTAAACTAATGTTTAGCCAAGAAATTGATCAAGAAGAACAAATGATCAAAAATCTGCCACCAAACTGGTTGATAAGAGCAATAGATCAACACTAGAACTGACCAAAGCAGTCACAGAAGCAAAGGGAAAAATACAAACCTAGAAGTCGATGCTGGGGCAGCAAGCGCAGACGTAATCTGCCAATTCCAAGAAGTCGAAACCTTTTCCTAAGATGCTAGGAAAAGTTCCAAATTTTCTAAATCAAAATCTTGAGCCCTAGTGGCTCTGATACCATGAAATTCAACAGAACTTCTTATTTCATAGATATCAGCATTACATGTATTTATATACTAGCAAGAAGATATACCAAAGGTAAGAAAATATCCTACAGATCTCTCCTATGATTCTTACAGATTTCTCTTATGATACTGTTAACTATATAAGGTAATAGAATATTTACAACATTCTTTCACAAATATAGATGGGTCTTTTAACCACAACACAAAAATAGGGGGAGCAAGGGGCATTTTGCGTGACACCGATGGAAATTGGATAGCTGGTTATAGTGCAAAAATTAATGTAAACTCGTCAACAAATGATAAACTATCATCTCTATTATATGGATTTCTTCTAACTGAAAAATTATAGGTTCAACACTTGGAGATAGCAACTGATTCACTCGAGGTAATTAACTTTCTTCAAAATGAAAGAGATACTCACACAAATATGTTAAATGAATGCAGGGATTTGATCCATAGAATGGGGAACCCCCCAATCAAGCATGAGCCTCGAGGAAAGAATAAAGTGGTGGACCTGCTAGCCAAAGAAGGCCAGAAGATTAAATCGGACAAGCTTTTTGAGGAATGGAGAGTTCCACCGTGGTTTGTTTGGAAGATACTAGAAGCAGAAAGAGTAAAAAGTCATATTCTACAAGCCTATAAGCCTCAATGTAATTTGAATTGTAACCAAGTTATATGGTCTGATAACTCATGCACTAGCCATAATGCAGCCATCTCTATTTGTATTGATACATAATATTATAATATAATATCTCCTCTTTTAACCAAAAATAAATAAATTATAATCCAAGCACCCCCACCACCACCACACTTTAATTTAAATGTTCCAAATGTCCTTTTTGTAAATTGTATGGACATCTAATTAAGATTAGTAGATCATTTTGTTGTCAAGTTAATTGTGTTCCAATACTATAATACATGAGCATTTAATAAGACGACAAAGTCTTCAACCTTTAATGAACGCAAAATGATCTAACAAAATTATCATTTCTCTTAATTTCAAATTATTCTAATAACTTTCAAGTATAAATATTATCCATCAAAATAAAGGAATTCATATATACCATCTCATAACTTGAAAATAAAATTCACATGATCTTTATGCAACACAATTATGAGATATCTCCACTGACTAACATTTGTATGACATAATGTGTGATATGCTTACCAAGTTCTGATGCATAGTTCTCACCTTATCATTGCACTTCAATCGGGTCACCATCGCTATAAGATGCTTTTGTACTCTGCATCAAGACATTGTTATTAGTAAGCTCATCAACATAACAAATTATTGTCTCAAGTATTAAACGCACAACTTTTAAGATATGACCAATAGCACCATAAGTTATTGCCAAATAAGATGAGCAAGACATTTCATCAAATATCACAGGTGCATAGCAGAAGAAGTGTTTTCCAATTATGAAATGTATTTTAATTGGTTGGAATTGTCACAAACTTGCAATGTGAATGTTTTGAATTTGCTAAATTTGCAAGTGTCAGTTATGGGGAAATTGCTTCAGATAGAGCCACCACCGAGAATTCTTCCTGCTAGTTCACTTCATTTAAAAGAGCAGCAACAAATTATATATGCGGCGAAAATAAGCAAAAACGCATAAACATCAAATTTGAAGGAAACTATCATCGTTGATGAAAGAAATCACCAGGAGCAGGAAAAATAATAACTAATCTGATATGGTTCTGGTTCTCTTATGTCCCGTTCCTCCAATCAAAGAAGAATCCATTCCCAGGGATAGTGCAAGTGCATAGTCAGAGTCTTACGTGCGTGCCTAACATCCACTCCTTCTAGTCAAGTGGCTTGCGGCACCTTTAACGATGAGAGAAGGCAATACGGAAGACCCATCAAAAAGGTCAAGTCTTTCACTACCATAAGTAGTTTCTAAGTTGATTTGTTCAATTTGTTGCAGACAATGCTTTTCTCTACACTTCTCAAAGATTTTTCAAGATTTGCTTATAAAAAAAATTCACTCCGAGCATCATTTTTTTTTCTACTTAAAAGTGTTTATCTCAGAAAGTTACCTAATATATCCACTTTGTACACATACTAAAGAGACAACTTAAATTGGGAGCAGAGAGTAGCAGGTTAGTGAAAAGAATATAAATAAACAATAGATTCATAGCTCAGTTCCATAAAAGAATTTCAAGTTGAAACAAAAATTAAGTCAACACACGCACCTGAAGTAGTTCTCCACATCTTCTCTAATCAAAGAAAGTTTATGAATCGTTTAAGAGAAACTCAAGCACTAAATGAAGATTAGACGAAATTAATCAAAGAAACTAAATGCATGCAATAATAAGGTTAAATTACTAACGTGTACCTGAAATTCAAGCAAGAAATTATATTCAAACTAATTGAAAAGTAACAAATATAAAATATACCAAATTATTATATCGATGATAATAATGCAAGATGATCTCGAAAAAATCCATCCAATTCTCACCAAAAATACCCAAAATCTCAAACGTTTGCAGAGAGTAGCTAACAGAGAAGATGTGAGGAGAAGAGAAAATATGACCTGGAAACAAAAAATAAAATAAAAAAGGAAACAAATAATTGGATTGCCATACACGTGTCTACAAAGGCTGAAAAATTAAGTTGTTGATGGTACAACTTACATAACGTTTTGTACTATCAAGTGATGCAGTGTTCGTCCATGTTTGTTGGCTTATATAATACTAGATTCGCCTAGGCCCGTTTTAGCACGGGCCCAACATAGTTGATTTTAGTGTCGCCTTTTTCACCGCAACAATACAACCTAATCAATTTAACTATATGGGTAGAACATGACATTGTCATATACATGTACGAAAACATGAGTTCATATACCTTTAAATAATATTGATCATTTTGTTTCAAATAGGCTACGTATCACAAATACATGATTGGGTAAGTGATGATACCACAAGTGCATGATTGGGTAAGTGATGATAAGTGCATACGACCACTCCATGGGTATAAACATTATAGACAGAAACCAGTAAATGTCTTGTAGGTGATATCTTGCTATCTTGTTCACATTCTCGAGTCCTATATCATCAATAAACTGACTTCATAAATAATCACTATTAGTGAATTTGAAAGAACACACACATGTTTCTTAGCAAAATAAGATGACATACAAGTATCACTAAAATTATCCTTACAACGCTTATTTAACTCTAAGAGGTGCAAATATCAATTAAAAACTATTTCTTACAGCACCTCTTATTATAATTATAACTGATAGCATGAATGTTGGTCTAAATACGATTTCAGAGAAACACATGATTATTGAAATACATTTTTTATATATAGCTAGAGCTTATTCAAGCAATGGTCTCCCAAAATCTGAGGGATGGCATTCAAATTTGATACATGTGTGAGAGTTAACACATAGATGACACAAGCATACTTGTTCAGTTTCTCCAAGTGTTCCTGAATATCTTTGGTATTCATCAGCTATTTGTAGCAGTACTTCATAATGGCCTCTTCCTTGGAGAATGTCATAACATACCCAACAACACCAACTACCACCATTGAGAGTGTTTCAATTATACTGACCATCTCACAAGTTTTTCTCTTGTGGAGTCTTACAGTTCAACAAATAAGATGTCAAAATCAATATTTAGCATCAACATAGTAGTATCTTCCCTTGGAGTGAAAGCTAGTAGGATAACGCTAGCAACCCCGAGTCTAAATAATAAATGTATGCCGAAAATGTGAATATTGAACTGAAATGTTATCAATAAAAGGGTGAATTTACTTGATACATGTTTTTCAACTTCTCTCACAATGTGGGTTATTCCAACCTTATAACCCAAGAAGGAAGTCAGCTTCCAAGGTTTGCTTGTATCATCCTTAGGCACTGAAATAAATGAAAAGGCAAATGAAAAAAGATGATGGATAAGGAAAGACTTGAAATATTTACTAAAATGTAGTAGGTGCTGATATTGTAGAGAAGCTAAGTTGCCAGACAAAAAAGGAGGAGGCTGCAAATGGTAAAAACATACATATGTTAAAAAGTGATAAATTCAAGAACTGAATCATCTAATATCAGTACATTTTTTTCCTTTAAGGTAAGAGCAAGTAGCTATGTAGTCGGGTCTCTATATAGAACCATAACTGCACTTGTATTTCTTGCAAGATTATCTTGTTGCTAATTTTCTTTTCCTTGTTGTTATTCATCAGATTATAGGGATGGCAAGAAAAATAATGAGATCTACAATATTTTTCAGAAATTACAGATAAAGACAACCTTTATGTACATGCTCACAACAATACTACTAATGTCCTGCCTCCACAACATCATCACGGGGTGAGATCACCACAACCTGAGATTTGGCAGAGTCAAGTACAATGTAAAATATTCTGGCTTTCCTCCTCTTGAGCAGAACTATTTTAGAAGATATAAGAAAACTTGCAAGAATCCATTTTCAAAAAACAATCTCGGTAGTTCCAAAAGTTATTAGCAAATTAGATGAGTGATACTATATGCCTCCATCAGAAGGTTGACAAATACATAGATTCATACTAACATAATTCATATATGATGGTAAGTCCCGAAAAGGAAGAGTTCAACAAAGTTGTCTCTAATTGACATTAACTATTCTTTCTATCTAAACGTGTGGCTTCTTTTGAACTAATTTTTTTGCTAAACTCATCTCATTAGAGTGAAGTGGTTGAATGCCTCTCTCCTTATGGTCAAGTGGTATTCGACCATAAAACATCATCCAGTTCCTTGCAAAAATAAAGTAAAGAAACTTGCAACTCCTACCCTCAACATAAATCAATTTATTCACACAAATTCATCAAATAAGAAATTAGTAAGTAGTTAATCAACAACTCTACAAAAAAGTAAATACTTTTTACTCCAATATTTCAACAATAGAGAAAAAATCCATTAACATCTTACCACTTCCTGTGCTTCTTCTTCTAGAGATGCTCGTAGAAATAAAATTAAAAAATTACACCTCTAAATAGAAGGATTTACCAAATGATGAATTGACCCTTGCAACTGAAACTTTACCATTCTACTAATCTATCACGATAAGAACCAACACCTTTTTTATTATCAAAATTGTTTATGATCAGTCAAATTTAACATTCATATTCATAGATGCAAATACATTGAAAGGAAAGATATACTTACCTCTAAAAGAGCCTGAGAAAAATGAAATCTTCAGAGAAGAGCAGTGTTGAAGTCAATTTTCGTGTTGACATTGAAAGAATAGTTATCAAAAAAGGCACTACACATGTCTATTGTTATAGTTCACGCGTTAGAAGGTGAAAGCTTAAAATAAGGTGAGTGTCAGAAATTACAAAATTGAATTTTATTTCTATTGCCACTGCGACACCACTTTAATCAGTATCATCCAAGAATTAGTGTCACAGCACTTCAATGATATCATCTAAGAACA